TATGTGTGAGATAGGAGGAAAAACTATCTTTTAAAACTGTTGCATTTGCTTGCAAAACGTTTGTTCCCCTAAGAAACTTTTGCATTCTAGAGTTATTATACATTTATTATTGACATTAAATGAATTAAAATGAATTATAAAAATTTATTTTTCATTTCAGCTAGTTTCTACTGCTACATCTCTTTTTTTTTTAGTTTAGTTTGATGTACTAAAGTAACTAAACCTAAAAATGAAGTAAAAAAAAATAATCCAAATTATATAGACATTTAAACTAAACTCAAAAATAAAACTGTTCATTTAGTATTATTGAGATAAACATTTAATTTAAAAAAATCAATCATTCTAAAAAAATAAAAAAAAAAGTATTTAAACACTAAAATAACTTTTTTTTTGCATTCCCCAGAGAAAGCAATGAAATATAATTTTTCATAATTTTCACATTTTTTCAATCTCCATGTCCCTTGCTTTATTTCTGGAGTTTGACCGTCTGTGAACTGCTGTGAGCTGAAAAATTTGCAGAATTTCTCCGTTTGTGTTCCACAGAAAAAACAACCGTATCCGTGTTTTGAACATGATTTGTGAGTAAGTGATGACAGAATGATGATCTTCACGCTCTTGAAGTCCGGTCAGTCTGCTGTATTTCCACTGCGCTGCACGTGAACCGCTACGACGGTCTTTCTCTCGATCTGCGTCTCCCATCACGGACTCGATATCCTGAACTCCTCCGACAGCAGTGTTGATGATCTTGAGGCTGCGTTTGTTGCCAACCGATCGCAGTAAAGCTCTCATCCGCCTGCACTGAGTTTATTTCACACAGGAGCTGCTCGATGGAAGCTGAGAGTTTGCGGTTTTGACTTTCTGCTCTCTGAACGCCGTCGATATCTCCAGATCTCCGTGAGACGAGGACAGCACTCGGTTCTGATGCGTGTGCAGGTTGGCGTTGTTCCCGCTGGTTTTGAGGTGTTTGGAGAAGTGCACGCTGAGGTTGGGCCGCTGAACGGCGCCACTCTGCTGGACGGGACGCCGCAGGTACGCATGAAGAGTGGCCACGCAGTTCTTCTTGAAGTTCTCGTTCATGAAGGCGTAGACGATGGGGTTGTTGAAGGAGTTGGAGAAGCCGATGGCTTGCACCACAGCGATGATCATGTTCACCGTGACCTCGTCGTAGTTCTTCTCCAGCTCGTCTGAATGAAAAATAGACAGATATTTTGATAAATTAGAGCTTTATTTCTTATTAGTTTTAATGTCAGGTATGTGGATGTTGGAATTATAAGGTTCTATCTGACATTTTTGTCAAAATTGAGTTATTCACATATTCTTATTCTGTGACAGCTTATTTACATTATGTGATAGATTTTTTAATGTTGTGTACATTTTGGGAATTTTTATTTAAAAAACAAAAAGGTTCTATCTGCACAGTCGAATGGAATGCAAAAACTTTGAAGCTCAATATCTCAAAACTACTAGAATGCAGATAGAACCTTATAATTCCAAGGGGACGAAATATTAGAATTGTAATTTCACAATTGTAATTTAAAATAAAATATAAATATATTAATAAATATTATATTTTTAGATATTATTTTACTGTGAAATATTATAATGGTAATTTTTTTTTCTGTTTTGATTTAGTAATTATATATAATTATTATATTTAAGTATAATAACAAATTACTATTCCTCCTAAATAAAATTAAAATTATTATTAATAATTATAATAGTGTTATTA